TACAATTTAACTTATAAATTGATTATAATTTAAATTTAACAATTTTAACAAAATTTGATAAAATTTTTAAAAAAACCCAATTTTTTCATTGTTAGTGGAAAAGGCATTGAAATAATTTCTTAATTTTATAATAAAAAAAAATGCTTTTTTTTGATGGTTCTAACATTATTATGTACGAATAAAGAAATGCAGAAAGTGGATTACTGAGTGGCAGTCAGGCAACATTAAGAAGGCAATCAACGGGTAATGTTTATGAATTTAATATTATGTTTATAATGTATTATGTTTTATGTTTTAGTGTTATGTTTTGCTTTACTATTTTTACAACGGGTTATGTTTTACTGTTTTTACAACGGGTTATGTTTTGCTGCTCGATGTGTGAAATTACAAAGATGGGATAGATCCATGCGGAAGAATGCAGATGGGTGCATCAGTGGGCAGCGGAAAAATATTTAATTAACAAAATGCCGAAATATTAATATCGGCTTTTCCATGAAAATTCCTTTTTTGTATAGCTAAAAATGTTGAATCAAAACAAAATGAACCAAAATAACAGTTGTGAAATTAGTAAGGTATCTAAAGTTTTCGATTACGAAGTAAATTTAAATTCTTGTAATTTATGAGCTTTGCAATTTATGCAATTTGTAATTTATGAAAGTTTTATACTTATGAACTAAAAAGTAGCGGTGAAAAGAAAAAACTGTTTAAAGTGCTACTGACTTTATGAACTAAATATACAGACGTTCCACGACTGTATGCCCAGTGATCCAGCTCGGTTCCCGACTGTACAAAATGCGACACATCCGCAATGTGAACACCAACCTCAAAGTTTTTTAAAAATAGCCATTTATAAAAAAAAAGATTACGAAAACCATCAAAACTTTACGGTTTAGTTGCTCAAAATCTTACGAAAAAATATGTTCTAAACGTACCGTTCTGAATACCCCCTTAAGCTAGTAGTTATCGCTCATCGTCTGTATCAGCACCATTTCAGCAGTCATTATGAGCATCTCTCACTGGTACGTGATGCCCATCAGTAGGTGTAGCGCTACCCTCCCAGCCAATATCAGCTTTTGTGGCTGCAAAGTATTCAATTGTCTATGGAAACAATGGATGGGCCTATGAATAAACGCAAAGAAAAAAAAAAACTGAGCCTATGCGAGTGGAAATTTTCCTATAAAAACTCATTTTCAGTAGGGGGCTTC